AGAGCTGAGCCGATTTCGGTGATGACAGGAGAAAAGTATGTGTTCAGATTAATATGCTCTAATCCTGCAACAGCAGATGGAAATATTCACAGCTTTTGTTGAAACAACTTTGTCAGCTAAGGTAAAATGGACTCCTAGCCATCCCCCTGTGTAGTGCAGACGCACAGATTTTCAGACAGAGAAAGTCCGTACTTTGTCAAAATACTGACTTCTTAAAAAAATGAACACCTGACACCATAAGCATGGTTCAGTTCTGTAGGTTGTAAATGTGAATCCTATTTGATGTGGGCCTCGAAACAAAAAGTGGGCTTCAGATTTTGCAGAAGCAGCGATGTATTCTGTCTTGCAGGGTTCATAATTTATAGTCACAAAAATAATACCCGGTTAGCAGCAGCTTTGCCCTGTCATGCATCATTGTGAGCAGCAGCCTTCTGTATGCTTATAGTCGCTGACACCATCACTCCAGGGATCGTGTTATGTCTCTTCTCCACATGGACATCGGGGCTGTTTCTGGAAGAGCACCCGTGGTTGGGGGAGGCGGTCCAGGCTAGCATAGGTGACACGCTGCTTCGGGCCGCCTCGCTAGCACCACCTGGCTGGCAGTCCGTGGCATGCGACACAACGATAATATACTAAGAGCGTTCAGTTTTGAGCATCTGAAGTACTTGATCAAAACATTCACTGTTTGGAATTGTTCACAGGAAAGTTTTTAGCGGACAACATCGTAGGTTCCGTCCTGGTTTTCTCCTTGATATTTTGGATCCCCTTCAGCATTCTTGTCCATTGCGTGGTAAGTCGCCAACTTGCTGATAATGAGACATTTTATTAGAATTTTGAGCAATTCCAACCTTACACCTTTCAGAAAAGATAAAATTTGTTCTTAGCAAGATCTGACCTGATGTTTCCAGTGGCATTTTTTTGGTGTTATTCCCTGGGAAAAGTTTAGCTAATTGTTTTTTAAAAGAATTATGCTTTTTGTATGGGGATATTTGTTCTCATATATAATTTGAGGAATGTTATACTTCCGAGCCCAGGAGATTGTTTCACTGGATTTGCCTAGGGCCTCTGAGTGAAGCTTTGAAATGAGTGTTTCAGGCTTTGTTATAATAGAACAAATAACAAACCTCAGCATTCCAAATATGGCACCCCTCTACCATATAGATTCCTGACCTTACTGTATGGGGTATTAAATCTAAGAGGGAGCAATCTTTATTATTCTCCTTCAAAATGAGTAACAGCTAACAAGGTGAATTGGGCTCTAATAACTCCACGTGATTTATAAACTTGGGGACTTTATAAAACTCATCCTTACAACTCCATTCACCTTGCTTCTCTGGGAAAATGATTTGTCTGCTGTAGAGATGAGAAATCAGACCCAGGCTTCCAGGCTTGTGCTCTGGAACTCTTGGGCAGTGTCCTCTCATGTGAGCACTTGGAAGATTGCAGCACAGCTGCCTCTCAGGAGTCTTTTTTTTTTTTTTTTTTTTTAAGATTTTATTTATTTGACAGCACAAGCACGGGGAGGAACAGAGGCAGAGGGAGAAGCAGACTCCCTGCTGAGCAGGGAGCCCGATGTGGGACTTGATCCCAGGACCCTAGGATCATGACCTGAGCTGAAGGCAGATGCTTAACCAACTGAGCCACCCAGGCGCCCCTCTCAGGAGTCTTTACTTCCTCTGCTTCCTTTCCAGTTGTGCCGGGGCCCTCTCACCGAGCAGCTCTTCCTCAGGGTGGGGAGCATGGAGGGTGTGGGGAGGGAAATCTAGGGAGCAGCCCTGCTAAAGCAAAGCTGTGTTAAGGGGACACAGTCGGAGCTTTGAGTGCCATCGATTACTGTTGTTTTTACTGGCGAGGCCAATCTACTCTGCGTTGCAAGTTGCCATTGTGGACTGAGGCCCGACCCTTGGTTTTGGAGCAAAGCCGCTAGATAGGAGGGAGGGTGGTGCCTTGTCCCGACCACAGAATGTGTGGGGGCAGCTGGGCTGGAAGCCAGGCCTAGAGTTTCAGGCTCCGCCTCCTGCCTTGCCCGTTGTCCTCTGTTCCACATCAGGATGGAACCAGGTGTTCAGCCTTCTGTGGAAGTATGATGGAGGGACTTCAGGCTGTTCCTCTAAGAATTTGGGCCACAGTAAACTCTGGAAACAGCTGAGAGTGTTGAGGCCATGGCGGGCTGGGGCATTTGGAGGCCAGTGCCAGGTGGGGCTGCCCGCAGCGTCCCTAACCCCTGGCAGCTGTCCCCGCGGTCAGCACTGCCCTGGTCTGACCCCTGCACACACAGGGACGTGCCTTTGGGGAAATCTCCGAGGAGAACTGTACTTAAGCATTCCCTGACTGGTTCCTTAGTTGACACCAAAACACCGATGGCCTCAAGGGCGAAGGAAGCACTTGCGGGCTGGTGACAGAACTTGTGAAGTTTCTGTAAGAAAGTCTTCTCTCTACTGGACATGCTAATACTTGCCAAACTCATGTTCTGAGGTGGTTCTTCGCTTAGGAGGAGCCTAGAGGGAGAGAGTGTGTAACTGAATTATTTGTAAGAATGACCTTTGCCTACTCGTTTTCCTTCTAGGATAAGAAACTGGATAAGCAGTATGAGTCTCTGTCTCTGTTCCACCCCAGCGTGAGTACCCGCACACAGCAGTCTCTTCCAGGGCTTCCTGGTGGCTACCCCAGTGAGGGCCGGCAGCCCCTGCGGCTGTGCCGCCTTCGGCTGGTGGGAGGTCCTGTTGCGGCAGGAAGGCTCTAGGCTGGAACCGCCTTTAGTTGCGCGGTTGGAGGTTTAAACAGGAGGGCTGCTCTGCCCCCGCCCCCCCAGCCCTGATTGAGCTGTTCCGCACTGACCTAATTTAATGTTTGGAGAACTTTCCCTGTCTTGGGATCCGGACTTGATGGGATTGTTTCTTGTGAGTGCTCTTTTGGGTCTTCGAATGGCCAGCTGTCAGGACATGTGGAAGGTGGGGGAGCCTCGCCTCATGCTCTGCTTAGCGCGAGGGGGTCATGGTGCCCGGACCGTAGACGGGCCGGCGGGGGGGAAGAGGTTGGAACTGTGGGACCTGGATCCGTCTTTGACTCCGTGTCTTTGCAGAACGTGGAAATGCTCAGCAGCATGGACTCGGCCTCGGTTCGCATCATCAAGCCCTTTCCTGCACCCCAGACCCCCGGCCGCCCGCAGCCCCTGCAGGCCGCCCCTGTGCCACCGGTACCCGCGGCTCCCAAACTGGAGCCCCAGCGAATGGACACGATCCAGGAGGACCCCAGCACAGACTCGCACGTGGACGAGGACGGCTTCGAGAAGGATCCCTTTCCCAACAGCAGCACTGCCGCCAAGTCCTTTGAGGACCTCACGGGCCGTCCGGTGACAAGAAGCGAGAAGGCTGCCTCCTTCAAGCTGCAGCGTCAGAACCGCGTGGGCAGCAAGGAGACCGAGTGCTAGGGCCAGGGCCTCCCAAGCGCGGCCTTTCTGTGCGACGGACCTGAAATCCCGCCGTCCGTTTGGCGAGGATCTGGGAGAGGTAAGGGACTTCACAGCAGATGCTGGCCATGTGTTTGGACTCCTTCACACACACACATACTTGTGTGCTTAGGCCCTTGCCCTTTGGAAGAGGTAAGGTGAATCTAGCTTATTTTGAGGCTTTCAGGTTTTCGATTTTTTGGTTTTTAAAATACCCTTCAACCTGTGGTGCAAAAGCAGAAAATACAGCTGGATTAGGTTATGAATATTTACATTTTTGTAAATTGACCTTATTGAGAATAGCACTGATTAAGGAGATGATCAGTTTTTTGTTATTTTTTTTTTATATACACTGTAATGATCCGCTATCAGGAGGCATTTAGCAGTTACTTATGAGGATAACTGGAACACAGATTTCATTTTTTGCCTTCAGGTAAGGACAAAGGAGAGAAAACTGAGTTATACATTCTTTCCAAAGTGTGGGTTCTGTTTTTAGGCATGACCCAGAGCTTTTAGCAGCAGGGAGAATCACCCAGCTTATTCCTAAAGATAGATGTGTTAATACGATATTTCAGATTCTAAGAATTAGAACACAGTCTAGCTTACAGGTAGCTAAATTGAATTTACAGAATCCTGCCAACTGCTCAGAGCCCCAATTGGCCGGGCAGTTTTTGTTTTTAAAGTTTGTCTAGTACTGTTGCTGTGTTCGTAAAGGGCTCGCCATTCACAAAACCTAAACAACTTCAAAATGAGAGTATGGTTTCCTCTTTGCAAACACTGGTGGCCAAGAGCTAGTTCTCCCCAAAGAATGGTGGTCTCGAAAGGCCGAGGCGTTGTGCTGAGCAGGGGGCGGCATGCTGCCTCTCTTGGGCCTGCGGCTCCCCCGCCCCCCGCCGGTTCCTGAAAACCCCTGGTGGTGACCCGGAGGTGGACCCTGCATCACTTCTCGCTTTAGTGCTTCGGGACTGTGTGCGTTTACTTTGTGAAGGATAAAAACCATCAAATTGAACTCTGATTTCCTTAAAATTATAGTTAAAAGCTTTCCCCCCTAAGTGCTGAAATGTGCTCACAGCCAACACATTCTAACGGAGATAATTTGTAAATTTTGAGGGCAATTAACTGAACCTGTGATAAATCGAATCTTTCCTTCTAAGGACGTTTATTATGCAGATGCCTGTTACACTAATACTTGAACTTATACCTTGTGGTGTTTGCTGTCTTAACTAGTCCTGGTATAGTTTAGTTATACTTTTGGAATCTGATAGAAGGTGAGTGGGTGTATGTGAGAGTGAACGGTTCCCAGCTCAATGTAAGAAAATTTTTTTATAAAATTGTGACTTTTTAAACAAATTTGTCTTTACCTTTTTCCCACGTATGAACAAGCTGCCCAGGGTTGGTTCTGTGGCTGGGGCGCTGAGGACACCCACCTCAGTCAGATATTTCCACAACACAACGTACCGAGGTACAGAGCTTCCCTACAAATTCTAACGTTTTTATTAATCTTGGTGGCAGAGGTTCAGTGGTTTTTATTCCAAGGTCATGAGCAAAGGTCTGCTCACTTATCTTGGGATCTTTGTCGCGTAGTTAATGGCCAGACGGGGTTTTCGGTGGCTAGTGGTCCCCATCTCCCAGAAGACTTAGTTCCGGTTTGGCTTCTGCTACGTCTCGCCAGTATGGGAGCAGCAAAGGCAAGGAGGAGACTTTCTTCTCTATCAGGGGCCAAAGGTGGGAGAATAAAAACTCATTTCCCTTCGGTGACAAGTGCAGTCCATCTGACAGGTAGGAGGAGAAGTCCTGTGTGGGAGGAGAGCACAGTTAAACGTGAGGGGCCCGCTGCTCACCAGCCCTTTGTGAGGTGCAGGCTCGCTGCCCAGTACGCACTGAGCTTCGTGAACCGCGTACCATTCGGTGCCCGCCTGAGCCATCCTTCCAGCTCCTCAGACGGCAGAGGCTGCACAAGTGAACACGACCTGCTGGTAGAAGAGCTCAGGGCCCCGGGTGCCACACGGTTTCTGACTCCCCCAGTCTAGCAATGAGGCGGACGGGCAGGTTGTTCGGCGGAAGGAACCCTGAGGAGCAGCCTTCGCCCTAAGCCGAGCCCCTGTCCCTGCGGGCCAGCTGGTTCACAACTCTTCCAGACCAGGGCCTCCCCAGGCCTCGGCGCTCCTCTCTGCCATTTTGGAGAAGATCTCTCAGGAAAGCCCACCCCCACCCCCCATTCTAGAAATCTCAAAGGACACAGTAGTGTGCAGTTCCCTTTTCTGGAGCAGTACAGCCTTCCCAAACTTCCTGGATGGATGTTCAACCCAGATGAAGCCAGGACTCTGCATGCTGTCCCCTGCTGCTCCTGGCCTGGGAAACCACAGGAGGGCTGAAGCGTGGGGGCTGCTGGGTCCTGTGACCCGTAACTACAGGAAAGCGTCAGACTGCCTTCCTTGTACCGCTCTGTGTGGGGGCCAGCTTTCACCTTTTATAGTGGGAAGTGGGCTTTCTGGCTTTAAACAAAATATTTAGACCTACCTAGTTCAAGCTAGGATTTTTAGCTACCACCCTGTCCTGCTAAAATAATCAATCATTGTACCTTTTAATGAGTTTTACAATAGGGGGTGGGGGTGCTAAAAGAATTGGGCCTGAATGTCTTTAATATGAACCATTTTTGGCTCATTTATTTCACTCTGTGCTCGCTCCTGACTGTTCAAGGGGTCCCGGAGAAGGATGGCAGCTGCTGGGTCCCGCAGAGGAACCAGGCCGGGCAAGCCCCCCCCCCCCCCCCCAGCTTTCCGGTTTAATCAGTGAAAGCAACAAGGGTCGTACCTACTCAGAGCCACTCTAGGCAGAGCCACACAGAGCGGGGTCCTGTCTGTCGGATCCTGCTCACCCCAAGGCCCGAGCCAGCCCCGTACCTGAGTGTCCTTCTGCATCAGGGTCCACAGGTCGAGCACATCGATCCCACAGTCTTGGGCTACCTGTAAGCAGGCGCCCGCGTATTCGCCAACGACCGAGTTCAGACGATTTAATTTGCAGCCTGTTGAGAGAGCGCGCGGGTGGCAGTTGGCCCTGGGCCAGCCATGCTTGGCGCACAGGCAGGGACCACCGGACACAATGGGTGGGGGGGGGGGAAGGATGGTCCCCGTGTGCTGCGCTACCTGGCAGGGGACCATGGGGACGAGGGGACCGTGACTGGTCACCGCAGGGGACATGGAACAGAAGTGCAGAGGCAGGAGAGGCCGGCGGCAGCTGTCGCACCCAGAGGCTAGGAAGGGGGGCGCCAGAGAGGGACGCCGGGCCGAGACCCCTGAATCTGGATGTGTGAGGAGAAGCCCCCCACACTAGAGTGAAGCTCAGTGGGGTTCAGCCCGAGAAGGGCAGAGCCGGGAGGGGCTGTGGAGGCTGGTCCTCCCCAACTCTCGGGGGCTGGGCGGGCGGCTCCCTCCCCGCCGGCGCTGCGGCGGCCACGGCGAGTCGGAAACGGACGGGCCTGTCTTCCCGAGAACGTCCTCGCGGCCCGTGGCTCAGGGACCGGGCGGCTGAACCCTCTGCGGTTCTCCACCGGGCCTTCACCCACGTCTACGGAAGTGAAACGAGTCTCACAAAACAATGCCTACTGTGTCCCAGATCCTGATCTTTTCCTATTCCATTCAAAAACAAGTCACTCGCCCAGTTCCGTGAGCCCGGAAAGCGCCGTGACCTGCGGTCCGCGAGGCGCCGCCCGAGCTCTCACCGGCACTCCGCCCGGCCGGCCTTAGCGCAGGCGGGCGAGCTCACAAGCCCTCACGGCACGGCGGCCGCTGGGGGGGGTCCCCACGCCGCCCTCCGGGGCGAACGATGGGGCGATTCGTCCACTTCTCGCGACTGCCCTTCAGATGTCTGCTGACAGCGGGCCTGGCCCCTTCCTCCCTGTCTGGCCTCTTCTTCAGGGTAAACCTGCCCTATTTACCTCCTCTGGGGAACTTTCTGGACATCTCTAGATTCTGCTTCTGTACTTTCAACAGACTGTTTCAGTACGTCTGTTAGACCGTTAATCACATTGTGGCAAGTATCTATTGACAGGACCACCGCCCTCCCTGGCCCAACGGGCAGGAACCGGGTTCCAGTCGCTTCTGTGTCCTGAGCACCTGGCCAGGTCCTGGCTTAGCACCTCAAAGTACAAAGACGAACAGCGGCCGGGCGGAGAGCTGCCCAGAACAGGGGCGCCCTGCCCGAGCCCCCGCGCCTGCGGAGGAGCCTGCATCCGTTCGGGGAGGACGGGGAGGGCGGCTCGCGCCGCTGTGAGGCCCGGAGGACAGCCCCCATGTGCGGGCGTCGGGGTCCCAGCCCTGCGCCGCAGGCTCCCGGGCTCGGCTGAGCTGCTCGCTCCGCGGCCGCGGCCGTCGGGGGCCGGCGGGGGCAGGCCACAGCGAGTCCCGCACCCGCCCGCGGGGCGCCCGAGCCGCGGCCGCGGAGGCCCACGGGCCCGGAAGCCGGCGCGCGTACCTTGCCGGAGGCACTCCTGCTCCCAGGCGGCCTCGCAGAGCGGGGGCGGCGTGATGAGGACGACGCGGCTGCCGGGAACGCCGGCCCGCTGCAGGTACCACAGCATGCTCTTCAAGTTGGCCACGTACTCGGCCAGCGGGATGTGTTGCTTGGGGTTCTCGTCTGTTCAGGAGGAACACGCACACTCCAAATGCACCTCTGTTACGAGGGACTGCAGTTGAGAGTAAGACGAGTTCACAGACCCTGGGACTCCCGATGGCGCTGGGTAGGGGGAGCCCTGAGGACAGAAACGGGGGGGGGGGGCGCGCCGGACCCAGCTCTTCACAGGGCAGGCCTCCGAGGCTCCCGGTGGCCACGAGCCTGGGCCGTGGAGGGCAGCGGCCGCGTGCCATCCGAGCCAGCGCCCTGGGATGCACGCTCGACCCTTCTGTGCTCCTGTCTCCTCCCTGGTAACCTGCGGGGAATCGGCTCTCCCCGACGGGGGTGTGGAAAGGACCTCAGCAAAGTGTGTGACGCACGAGAGCGAGGCGCCTACCACACCAGAAGCATGCGCCGTCACCCCCGTCGTGGCTGCAAAGGGTCACTTCTAACTGGCCTCACAGGCAAGTACCACGAGACTCACTGCAGGCATTTTCCAAGCCACACGGAAGTATAATCATAGAAGCAAAATAAAATCACCCATGATCCTACCACCCAGAACACCACGGGTGGCACTTGGATCTACTTCTAATCTTTTCCATGTTGATACATATACTTTAAAAAACAAACACACCGTGGGGCACCTGGGTGGCTCAGTCGGTTGACCTGACCTGACCTTCGGCTCAGGTCATGGTCCCGGGGTCCTGGGATGGAGCCCCGCATCGGGCTCCCTGCTCCGCGGGAAGCCTGCTTCTTCCCTCTCCCACTCCCCCTGCTTGTGTTCCCTCTCTCGCTGTGTCTCTCTCTGTCAGATAAATAAATAAAATCTTAAAAAAAAAAAAAACCTACGAAGATCTTTGTCCTTATGGAGCTTACACACACACACACACACACACACACACACACACACTGGGATCACACTGAAGATACATAACCATATTGTTCTTTTTTCACATAACATTATATTATGGGCATTTCTGTGTCCATTAGTAGCCCTCAAAAACATGGTTAGTTGTTGCGCGACCAGCTGGATGCGTCTACTTTACCATGTGGCACCCTAATGTCTGCCATTCCAAATACCATCCCAGGCGTCTGCACATCTGCCTGCTGCATTACTATTAGGCTGGATTTCTAGATTGGGTGCATGCCGTCAAATATCTTTCCGGAAAGATCGCAAGTTTCCCCACCAGTTACGTAACAGCGTGCCCATCTCACTCCACATTCAGCAGCTCTAAGTATTAGCGCTTAAAAAATACTTGCCAGGGCGCCTGGGTGGCTCATTCGGTTAAGTGCCTGACTCTTGCTTTCTGCCAGGTTGTGATCTCAGGATCGTGAGATCGGGCCCTGTGTCGGGCTCATCCACTGGGTATGGAGCCTACTTAAGATTCTCCCTCTCCAGGGCGCCTGGGTGGCTCAGTTGGTTAAGCATCTGCTTTTAGCTCAGGTCCGCATCCCAGAGTCCCAGGATCAAGCCCCGCATCGGGCTCCCTGCTTAGCAGGGAGCGTGCTTCTCCCTCTGCCCCTCACCCTGCTTGTGCTCTCTCTCTCTCTCAAATAAATAAAATCTTAAAAAAAAAAAGTTCTCCCTCTCTCTGTGCCCCCCCCCACGTGTGTGGTCACGCTCGCAAAACACAGCTAACAATGAATTAGGAAAACACAAGAATGCTTTTACCTTTCAGCGCACTGTCATTGGCACCAAAGAAAATTGTAACTGCTACTGGGCTGTCCAGACTGTTCCCTTTCCTGATTATTCTTGGAAGGATGATTTTGGCCCATCTGGTATTATAACCTGAAAATCCACGATTCAGAACATCACATTTTCTGAAATGAAGAATTTAAAAAAAAAAGATGAATTGTGGGCAAAGAAAGGTTTCTAGTCCATCTGCAGTGAACCCACAGTGTGTGCCCTCCAGGCTGTGGCACCTGCTGATGTCACATGGCTCTGGGGTGCTTTCACTTTTTTTAAAGTTTATTTCAGTCATCTCTACACCCAACGTGGGGCTCGAACTCATGACCCCGAGATCAAGAGTCGCAGGCTCTTTGGACTGAGCCAGCCGGGCGCCCCTGCCGTGCTTTCACTTTGAGAAGAGCATTAACATAGTTGAACATGATGTCCTTAAAGTCTTTCCAAGATCTAGGTCGTCTTTCCTTGACAAGAGGGGTTATGAATAGCTGAGCAAAGGGGCTGGCATCTCCTCTGTGGACTTGCGCGTGGCGGGGGCTGGGGTCCTGTCACAGGGTGCTCACAGCAGACAGGTGTTAACCTGAGCAAGCATCTTGGGTGGAAAGTCACCAACAAGCTGGAGCTCAAGGGTAACAATGGTTCGGTGGCGAGGGGGGGGCGCTATATCTATATAGAAGATTTCTGAGACTTTTTACAGACTATTTTTTAAGAGGCATTTTAGGGGTACAGCAGATCGAAAGGAACAGAGAGCTCCTGCACACTCCTGCCCCCCACATGCACAGCCTCCCCAACTATCAACAGCCCCCCACCCCTGAGAGGCACATTTGTTGTAGGTGATGAACCTATATTCGCACATCATTCTCAGTAGCCCCCCATGGTTCTGATTCAATCGCTTATACACACAAACACACACACACACACAATGTATGTATATATATGTATGTATATAGTGTTTCAGTTTGTTTTGCCTTCTTAAAAACACATGGTTTGATTCGCAGTACTGTAGGGTACAAGGAAAAGACCATGGATCTTGAGCTAGTTGCCTGAGTTTGTGTCCCTGTTCCTTTACTTAGTGGCCGGGACCCCCAGTATGTTTGCAGACGCTTAAAGTTGTCCATAATGAAAATTTTAAAAACCCCTCAGAGTACAACTTCTGGTTAGCAAACCGATGGGGCTTACTTCGGTGTATAGTTCCAATTCCTACAGCTCAGCAGAGAACACGGGGCTATAAGGCCAGGGAACAGAGGCTGAGACAACCGGAGGAGACTTGGTTTGCCACTACTCAAAAAGCTCTGAAAATTTATAAATCTTGGGGACAACAATAACAAAATTCAGCCACAATTTCTAAGTGTGATTTCTTGGTGTTTTTCATGCATAATGATTACAAAAAGCTGACTAGCCATTTTAAAGACTCAATTTAAAATGGAATACTCTTGGGGCGCCTGGGTGGCTCAGTTAGTTAATCGTCCAACTCTTGATCTCAGCTCAGGTCTTGATCTCAGGGTCATAGGTTCAAGCCCACGTTGGGCTCCATGCCAGGCATGGAGCCTACTTAAAAAAAAAAAAAAAAAAGAATACCCTAGAATTTTGATGAGTCTGTTTTACATCCCCTCCAATGGTTTAGTCACTGCAATGCTTAAAAAACCAGAAGGCAGGGCAGCTTGCTCCCTAAGGCCTGTGTGATGTGCAGGAAAGCTGAAAGTCTGCAATCAGAGCAGCCAGGGTCTGGACCTCCCCGCCCTTGACCACCAGATCAGGCCTTGGCCATTTATCTCATTTCTCTGAGCTTCAGGCTCCCCAACTGCAAAAGATGAACCTAATACCTAATCTGCTAGGCAGTGTGAAGATTAAAAGTAACCAGACACATATAAGGAGCTCAATAAATAGCAGCCATTACATATTGAAAAAAAAAATCATTATTATAAGGCTATGAACCAGGAAAAAAGTGCAAGTGAGTGAGGCCCAGGGTTGAAACTGTTTCAGTTCCCTTCTGAAAGGAGAAGGCTATCTGAATTTCTCTGGCTCGAACAGTATCATCAATAGTGCCCAACTTATTCCAAAGGCTGCAGAAACTGGCACATTAAGAAAGACTTTTAGGAGCGCCTGGGGGGGGCTCAGTCGTTAAGCGTCTGCCTTCCGCTCAGGTCATGATCCCAGCGTCCCGGGATGGAGCCCCACATCGGGCTCCCTGCTCAGCAGGAAGCCTGCTTCTCCCTCTCCCTCTCCCCCTGCTTGTGCTTGCTCTCTGTCAAATAAATAAAAAAGAAAAACTTTTACTTAAATTCACGGCTAATAACAAGTATTTAAGTTCAGATGAAGAGGGAAAGAGTAAGAATGAACTGAAAGATTCCCTGCCAAACAACCCAGCTCTGGGAGACTGCCTTCCAGAAACAAGGTAGATTAAGCCATTTTATAAGCCAGGCAGGGGCCTATCTTTAAAAGCAAACAGCAGAAGCTTTTAAAAACTGAAAAAGTTGAGTTTATTCTAACTCCTTTAAGTCCTTCAAGTATTTTAAAGAAATACTGCGATAAGGCTAAAAGAAAACAATGAAAATGTCAATAAATTTTAAAAGGATTTAAATAGATTTAAGAATTATTAAAATGCTTTTATAATGCTAAAACATAAAAGATGTCCCTATGGGACACAATGATATATTTTAGATTACTATCCATGTAGTTACAGTGAGGTAACCTCTTTACAACTTGGAAACTGGGTTACATTTAACACTGAAACCAACATAACACTGTATGTTAATCACACTTCAAAAAAAAAAAAAAAAAAGGCCCCAAACCGCTGTGAATCAGTTCAGGGCTGTACAGATGGCTGAAGCTGACATTAAAAATCCACGGGGCTGGCGGGGGGGCGGGGGGTGGCGCCGCCGGGGGTGGCTCAGTGGGTGGAGCTTCTGACTCCGGGTTTCCCCTCAGGTCCTGATCTTGGGGTTGTGAGATCGAGCCCGTCCCTCCCCTTCCGCACGCAGCGAGGAGTCGGCCTGTGCCTCTCTGCCCCTCCCCCCACTGACGCATTCTCTCTCTGAAATAAATCTTTAAAAAGTAAATTCACCCCAAGTGTTCACAGAGCTAAAGAAGATGTCCACCTAAGGGGCAGTTGTTTGGGGTGGAATAGAAAGAACCCAGTTCCGGCGCTAAAAAAGGATGGTGGAGTGTACTGCCTGCTCTCTCGGCCCCCAGTGCCAGTCAGCGCCAACCACAGCCCCCTAGTTTTCCCGGTGGTCCGCCCGCCCTGCCTGGTGGAAGAAGAGGGGCCCCCGGGGGCCACTGCTCCCTCTGCCTGGGTTCTGCTGCCCCACTGTGGCATTTGAGCTCCTAATCCTCCGGAGAGAGTGGCTGGGGTGAGTGCGCCCAGCAGAGGTGGGCACTCTGGGCGGGGAGCCTGAAGGGGCGAGAGTTCACCGAGGTGCAGCCTCTTTGGAGGGGCTGCTCTGCGCTGTGGGCCTCAACAGGACGCCTGTCAGGAGTTAGAGGCAGGAGGCGGCAGACCACACGTCTCCAACTCTTGTCTTTTCTTGTAACTTCTCTCAATCCTGAAAAATAACTTCTAATTAAGTGGTCTTCTAGGCAAGCATAAACTATCAATTCTCACAGGATTTCAGTACTAAAATTATTCACTATTTATGAAATATTTGGTAAAAATTATGTGTTGGTAAAGCATTTGAAATGCCTGGTTTTCCAGGCCACTTGAAGTGTTTAGCTTTTCAGAAAAGGTTAATAGACCAATTAAACAGTTACTGGATTACTAAACACAAACGCTACTATTTATTGAACGCTCTCAAGTTCCAGCTGTCTAAACAAGTTCACATTAGCATTTCCAGCCTCCCACCATGAAAGCAGGTGACCTCATCATCTCAGGAGGTTCAGGACCACGGGCTCTGGAGCCGGGCCACCTGCCACTTCCTAGCTTTAAGACCTTGTCAAAACCCCTCTCCACCTTATTCTTCTCAGCTAGAAGATGGATCGGAGACTCACTCACTCTGTATTACAGGGCAGTTGTAAAGATTAAATGAGTCAATACACATAAAGCATTTTAGTTTCTGGCACTCAGTAAAACTTAGCGACAATCCTCCCATTTGACAGAAGGGAAAACTGGTGATACTTTCATATGTCTAGATTAAGTCCACTTAAATAGGGAAAGCATTTGGGAAGAGAAAAAGCCCCCAAAAAGGTGAAATTTTTCATTTCTAGTTTAGGGGATAAAAATGAAGGAGAAAGTGAAGACATTTTAAAACACATTTCACATTTGGAAATAAAATACATTTTCTTGGTGTGTTTATTATACTGGTGAAGAAATTACCAAGTATTAATAAGCTGGTAGTACATCCAGCTTATTTCTTCTAAAGGAGAGACAAAACTCCTGACCAGTTTACCGATACTCTTAAATACTTGTGTTTACACTGTTTTTAATGTGGAAAATATTTCTAAGTATTTTTTAACCTCTTGGATTGGAGCAGTGTTTCCCTTTTGATGACTTCCTTAGCATATGCTTACCTTAAGTCTGGCAAATAAAATGCCAAAATCATCACTATTTCTAATATATATATTTTTAAAGATTTTATTTATTTGACAGAGAGACACAGCGAGAGAGGGAACACAAGCAGGGGGAGTGGGAGAGGGAGAAGCAGGCTTCCTGCGGAGCACAGAGCCCGATGCCGGGCTCGATCCCAGGACCCTGGGACCATGACCTGAGCCGAAGGAAGGTGCTTAATGACTGAGCCACCCAGGCGCCTGTATTTCTAATATATTTTATAAAGAGAATTTGGGGGACAAAAACCTCTATCCAAAAATGATGCTAACTTTGGTTTATGAATATACTTTGCTTTCTTTCAATTGAATTCCTTACTACTTGTTTAAATCATATCCACAGTAATACCCGCAAAAAAAAAAACTTCTTCAGATGGTGAGTAACTATTTGTTTGGCTCCAAACCCAGTATCTTTTCCACAACTTTTCGGGTTTTATTTCACTTCCGGCAGAACTTTTGCTGAATCCTGAGCACCTGCCCTTCCTCCTTCCCTCCTTCCCTCCCCCAACCCTGTATATACATTAACCAGGAAAGGCCCACAAAGATGAAGAAAGGAGGAATTTACTGTTTGAAACTGTATCATTCACTCTGTCTTCTGAGATGCAGTTAGTTTTCCATCAGTAAGCACCCAAGTATCAGTCCAGAAACGATTCTCACCTGACCAGCCTGTCAGCCAGGGACGCTCCCCATCCACCCTGCTGGAAAGAAAACTGAAAAAGGAAAAGTCCATTACTACTTATCGATGTAATTAATTAGCACATTTTAGAAAGGGACATTTCGGTCATCAACTCCTTTTGTTTTCCTCTCATCCTCCCTGACTTTTTGGCCTTCTTCATTTGCTTTGCTCAGAGGTCATTTTAGGAATTACTACAGCTAAACCTCAGCAGCACTCTGGAAATCAGGGGGAGTTTTCTTCCCTATCAGTTGGATTTGAGCCAGTCATGTGCATTTTATTGAGAATATCAGAGTCATTTTTAGTTAGAATAGCTACTTAAATTTATGTACAAGAGATAAAATCAGTTGCATGTTCAGTTAGGAAGCGAGACCCACGCTGTACTACATTTCCATACTTGAAAAGAAGGAAGTTAATCACAGAACTCGGGGTGAACCTTTTTTAAATATACATTCCTATAAATCCGGAAAGCCCTTACTGCCCTTCTTGCCTAAAAATTGTCACATACACAGAAAATTGGTTGAGGAAGTCATGTCTGAAGAGACAAATAAAAAAAAAAACCCACAAAACACCACGGGAGTAATTTTTTTAAAAGTGTACTTCCTCCCTGAAGTAGAACATGCGTTTTTCCTTAATATGAGTTGAAGTGATCTTGGGTGAAAAGGTGATTTACTACGTTATTCTTGGGACATTTTATTCAAGATCAGCCTGTTCCACCAGAGGAAGCAGAGGTGAACTGGTTCCAAGTGTTTTCTGCATGGAGCGGGCTGCACACAACCTCAGCAAGTGATTCAGCCGCCACCGCGCTCCCGCAGGTGGACCCTCCCCGGAAGCTCCGCGCGGGACACAAAGTGCTGTCCGTGCTGCGAGCGACCAAAGGAGGTTTCGTGGAAAAGGAAAACACTAAGATGAAAACAACGCGCCCCTACTTGTCCCGGGTCTCCCGATTATCCGTAAAACTGACGGGAAGCGGTGAACTCAGGCTTTGTCACGCCCAGGGAGCGGCCTGGGCGAGTCACTTCACTTCCCTGCACTTCACCTCACCCGTCAAACAGGCTCCATGAAACGGGTGTGCAAGTACTGCGCCACCCACACCGTTACCCTGAAGCTAGGAGCGACTAGAAACGGGAAGCCCTGCCGGCGGGGGGGGGGGGGGGCTCCGAAGGGGCGCTGGAGGCGGCTGCTACTGGAGGCTGCGGGCATCCCGGAACAGATCCCGCCACCGGGGCGCTCAGCCTTCGGGGCAGCCAATGCCTGGAAGCGGGGTGCAGGGAGGTGGCCTTGGTAACCGCGGGGCAGACGGGAGGACGGGAGCCCGGTGCGGAGAGCCAGTGAGCTGCCAGAGAGCGCGGCCGTGGACGCCCAAGTGACCCGCCATGTGACGACCGAGCGGCGGTACCTGGGTGATGGAGTCCCCGAAGAGCAACACCCGCGGCCAGCGCAGAGAGCAACCGCCGCTCGCCGCCTCGCACAGCGCCATATTGCCTGCCGGCCGAGAGGCGGGGCCAGGCCGGATATCCGGGCGGGGCGAGCGGCCGGGGGCGGGGCCGCCCGCAGAGCTGCGGGGAGGCGCCTGAGCGGTGGTCGCTCTCCTGTCGCCCGCGGGGTGGCTGCCCGCCCCTTCCCCAGGGCTCCTCGGGCTGGGCTCCTTTGGCACCAACCGACCATTTTTAACACGTGCGATAGCAGTTGCCCCTTGGAAAGCTCATTTTTGTCCGTTTACAAAGCGGCCTCGCTGTTCGTTGGTTCATCCCGTCAGGGGCGGGGCGCACGCAGCCCCCTGCCGTCCGGGAGCCGCGCGGCACTTCCCCGGGAGCCGGAAGGGAGAGCGGTCTGCGCCGCCAGCAGAGCCAACCTCACCCTCCACGCGGGGCCAGGTGTTTCCGCAAACAGCAAGAGTGTGAAGCTCGGTGGGGTAGGAAGCGCTTCCGAGGGACTCGTTCATCACACAGCCATCTCTCGTTAAATAAACGGACTCAAGCATTTATCGAAGGTTTTGACCTCAAAGAAAAACTTAAGACGTTTGCTGAAGACTGGAAGGCAGACTATTCAAGGACGAAGATGGGGTCTTGCAGGAGGGGAGAGAAATTAGGAAAGGTGGGAATCCATAGCCAAGGAGCAGGGTGGAGGGTAGAAGGATGTACAATTTCTAGAAACCGGATTCTTGCTGAAGGCAGGCCAGGGTGGTAAGATACCAGGGAGGGGAATGAGGAATTTGAGCAGGTACCCAGCAGGACTCCAGAGGGGCCAAGGGCAGAGCCCAGGTGGGGGCCTACTCCCAGGAGCTCCTCGACTCGTCTGCCCAGAGTCCTTGCCACCTCAGCTGTGCCATGAAGTATGATGGCCGTGACTAAAATGGGCCAGATGTTTTCATAACAACTGAGCCTAAGGCGAAAACCAGACTCGCAAGGGAAGCAGTGCACCATAGACAAGCTGACCTACCTCGCTGTGGCTGGGACGTAAGGTGTCGGGAGAACGGCTGGAGCCAGAGAGGCAGGTAGTGGGATGCAGAGCCAAGTCTTCAGGCCAGGAGTTCCCTGGCTTCAACTAGAATCATCTGGGGAGCTTTAAAAATGTGCTGATAAAGGGCCCTCACGTTAACTTCTGATGGTAAGACGTGGGCCTCAGTATATTTTCACTGCTCCCCAGGTGATTGCAGCATGTAGCCACGGTTGAGAATGCCTGGCTTAGTTAAGATGTTTGGCCTTGATCCTAATTACAATGAAGCCAGTAGGGAAGGCCTGAGAGCGGGTCTGTGTATTTCAGGAAGGAGGAGCAGGGAAGCTGTGGCAGGAACCAGAGCAGACAGGGTGACTGGGACTCAGAGCCACCGTGGAGAGAAGACAAGGGCAGACTCAAGAGCAATTTGGAATCCTTAACTCAAATTGGTTACCTAAGGGAGAGGGACTAGGGGAAAAGGCACATTCCGTTTTTACTATATAGTCTTACTAAGGTATTACAGGTATGTATTTTTTGTAACTTAAAAATGTTTTTAAATCTCTCAAAACGGGTGCCTGGGTGGCTCTGTTGGTTGAGCGCCCGACTCTTATTTTCAGCTCAGGTCGTGAGACCGAGCCCCGCGCTGGGCTCCGTGCTTGGCAGGGGTCTGCTCGGGATTCTCTCCCTCTGCCCCTCCTGCTCGTTCTCTTGCTCTAAAATAAAATAAATCTTTAAAAAAAAATCTATCATAAAATCTTACATGACACCGAAGGTGACCCTTAGAACGTTGGTTTGGGCCAGAGACAAAAGTGGGGTAGGGTGTCTTACAGAAATATTTCAAGTAAAACTTCAGATTTGTGCACTCAAGCTTGTCACAACACAGGGAAGGGGCGCTCAGTGGCTGTGCGTCACCAAGAGGTGAGGCAAGGAGAGGACTAACGGTCGGTGGAGTTTAGGGACTGTGGTTGGCGGACGCCTTGAGCTCGACGGTGAGTGTGAGCGACTCTCGAGTTGGGCAAGAAGGTGAGAGCGAGTTTCTGCTCGTGCTCGCCCCCTGTGCATGGAAGCGGACCCCAAGGAACACCCCAGCTCATCTCAGCACGCTGCACCCCTACACTCCTGCGGCAGTTATTTGCAAGTCTGAATTACACGCGGTTCAGGAAACTGGCCTAATGATTAATTTACACACAGAGCAATTCAACAACTCACACCTGAATCCCCTGGAACTTGAGGCATAAAAATTATAGTCTGAATATCTCTGAATTGAATGTGAATTGAGTATCTCAGAATTGAAAGAAAATATCACTGAATCCCGAAAGTCGTAATTTTACAAATGTACAAATTAAGGAATTTGCCAAGAGTATCAGGAGGGAACAGAAAAGGCACTTGAGGTGATAATCTCTATTAATTCCCTTCAGAATATGGACATGAAAATACAAACCATCATGTATTTTCTTTCCTTAAAAAGGCCACGAAGACACTGATTCAGTTGCTATGAGCAGATCTGAAAGGTTTCATTGGCAGCTTAGGCAGTTTGTTCAGTAGTTTTGGAATAATGGACAGATCAGTTGGTAATTTAGCAGCACCCAAGCTGTTGGAATCAAGGCCGTTTGACGTTCCAAGTCACTAGGCTACTCCTGAGAAACTAAGGTATTTTATTTTAAGTCACAGAAGTGGAGTCAAGCGTTCCGAAGAAGATTTAACGCATCCGGAGGCGGCCGGTTGCCAGTGAACGGGGGTGAGGGCCTCATACAGCCTCTGGGCGGCCAGCTCCACCATTTCCCGCAGGGATTCGTCTTCCTCGCTCCCTTCTTCGCATTCTACAGTCTGAAAGTGAAAGCACAAACAGGCCTTTCACCCTAAGCGTCTACAAGTGTCGTACGCAAGACAGACTGATCCCCATTTCCGGGGGGGCGGGGGTCACCGAAGCCTGGCGTCTGGGGCCCTGAGCTGTGGCCCTCAGGCCTGCAGGCGTGGGCCTGACCCGCGGAGCCCGACCGCACAATCACTGGGTCTAATTAGAGGTTAATTTTGGAAAAAGGAATAAATGGAAAATCTAGTGAACTAGATTTACTTCAAAGCCCATATTCTAACCCAGTAAGTGACACTACCAGGAACTCAGTCTTTGTAATACCAATTACTTAGCAAGTTCAAAATTTGTATTAAATCTGATTTAGACTAATAATCTTCTAGTATTTTCTCAGCTACAAAACACTATATGCGGTTTTAAAATTTTATCATATGATAAATATTGCTCATATTACAACTTAGTAAGAGAAAAGTAGCACCCTTAATTCTATAACCTAATGATAACTCTTGTGAACATTTCAGTGTATAACCTTCCAGACTTTGAGCTACACATATGTATTTCTTTAAAACCAAAATGGGGTAATCTGTCATTCTTGCGATCTTGTTAACTTTTCTTGGCCCTCACTAATGCGGGGGGGACAGCTGTGCCCATTAGTGATCCCCATCGCCATCTTCCTGATGGCTGCCTGCACAGACCTCCGTGTCCAGGTGTACATCATGCACACAACCTACTGTGATCTTCTTTAGTTTCCTACTCGCGCATATTTTGGTCTCTCGCAGTTCTGCTGTTACAATCAATGCTAGAAGGGAAATCCTTGTATCTATCTGCTCGAATTATTTTATCATTAACTTGTCCAATTATTTTCTTTGATTAAATCCAGTAAGTGGAATTGTGGACAAAGGTATTTACTTTTCTGAGCCTTTCTAGGCATTTCACCAACTCCGCTGCGGAAAGAACGTGTCAGCTCATTTATAATCCCCTCCCGGCCCCAAACCGACCCTGATAACAAACTGTGGCCCGGTTTTCCCCGGTGCCGGCTCCAGCACTCTTGTCCATCTGTGCCCAAGTGTTAAGCAGTGAGGTTTTGTACTTTCAATCTGTATTTCCTCTAATTACTAGTGGATCGGAGCTGAACATTTGCTTCATGTGCTTGCTGGCTGTCCAGACTTCTTCTCTAGTGAACCACTTGGTTATATTCTTAGCTTATTTTTCTAGTGGGGTAAAATAAACTAGTGTCTCCTCAAAGCATCTATATAGTCAAAGAACATAAATTTAAAACCTATGTTGTTTGTTTAGTAGAACTGTTCTAATCTTCAAAAACAAGACTGTAAGATATACTTATTCACTTATGCTTATGAAATAATTATGCAGGATGTGTAGTGTTAGACCAGAGCAGGCCCCACGATCTTGAATCCCATTTTTTGGAAAAGCTACTTGGATCTTGCTGGTAAAACCAGAGAACAGCTTCTCTGAAAAAATCTGGAATCAACTGGATGCCAAACAAGAGAAATGGACTCAGGCCTCTCGTGGAAAAGTAAATGATGGGGAATATACACACGAGACCCGTGTGCTGTGCAGCGAAGCGCAAGAACACTTAGGACAGGGGCGCCTGGGGGGCTCAGTCGTTAAGCGTCTGCCTTCGGCTCAGGTCATGGTCCCAGGGTCCTGGGATCGAGCCCCGCATCGGGCTCCCTGCTCCGCGGGAGGCCTGCCTCTCCCTCTCCCACTCCCCCTGCTTGTGTTCCCTCTCTCGCTGTGTTTCTCTCTGTCAAATAAATAAATAAAATCTTAAAAAAAAAAAAAAAAGAACACTTAGGACAGGATGGGGGAAGAAGCAAAAACGCAGGGTGCCTGGCTGGCTCGGTCAGAAGGGCATACGACTCTTGACCTTGGGGTTGTGAGTTTGAGCCCCACACTAGGTGTAGAGATTACTAAAAAAATAAATAAGCTTAAAAAAAAAAAAAAGCAGGAATGTGTAACTTTATACATAATAACATAAAGCCTGTAAAAAGCAAATGTAGGAAAAAAAACTGGAAGGAAATGCTGAAATGTGGAAGTGAGCTGTCTGGTGTGAGACCAGAGATTACTTTTGTTTTAACTTTCTTTCCCAAATGTCCTGAAATGTGGGAAGGAGCAGCTACATACCCGTGTCTCCAAGTTTATATTAGCAGTTTTCCCGTCCACTGTGACACTTAGAATAGAACCATCTTTTACACTTACACAGTCTTCTCCAAATATGTCCCTTAAGAT